ACATCTATTTTACACATAATTACTTAAAATAAACATCTTTTACATCTAATGTAGAATTTGATGCAAACCGTCGTTTTCTTCTAAAGAAAATATGCTCATAATCTGTTGAGTTTATAAAAAAAACAACATGGGAATGCTTTCTGCGGCATTACGTCACCCGAATGGAAACTGCATTTCTTGCATAGCAGACTGGCGTTTCCGTGAGTTTTACCCATGCCGGAAATTTCATCTGGCATGGGGGGTGCCAGATGAGTCGCGTGCCAAACAACAACGTCATTTTAACGCGCTTTATGAATGAGCCGCGTTAAAATGACGTCGTTTTAGAAGGGAAATATGTATTAGGATGACGTCATTTCGCTGTTGTTATTAGAAAATAGTTATGGATGAAATGACTTTAATTTCCATGAACATATATCATATTTGTGTAAAACATTTTAAATATGAAATAATATGGCAGAATATGCAAGAAAAAATATCTAACATATGTTTGCGGTTCGGATCGGAATATCCGTCCCTCGGGAACCCGCCCATGGGCGGTAACTCGGCAAGCCTCGTTACCGCCCAATGGGCGGGTCCCCTCGGGACGGATATTCCGGTCCGAACCGCAACATATGACAGATATTATTAATCTGACTTAAATATTGTGCAGATACAGTTTCTCGATGCCCATGCGACTTTATTTTATTTTAAAATGCCGCAGGTTGAAGTACTTATGCAAGAAACACTATTTCAAAAGAACTCATTGCAACGGTTTGAAACTGACAAAACTGTAATAAGTTTTTCTAGGTGTGATAAGCTGGTACAAGAGCAAGATACGTATTTAGTAACAAATCATTAAATTCTATGTAAATGAAATATATTAAAATGTGGTTAACGGAATTTACTTCTTCTTGAAAAGTTCAAACCACTATGAAAAGATTAATAGCATTAAGTACCAATGCACGCATCGATGTTATTTCCGCATAGATATAACAAGTAAATGCATATGTGCCAGATTAGGGTTTTTTTCTTTATAAACGTGGAAATGACAAGTAAATGATATAGAAATATGAAATATTATGAAAACACATTTTATAATTTTACATCTAGGTGTGTTTACAACTTCTATGAATTGAGTGTCATTAAATGATGATCATAAGTGTGACAGTAGATAGATCATAGATGTTGTATATCTAATATTCTTGTACTAGTTATACATATGTTACATGTACAAAGTAAATAACAATAAAATATCATTGAAAAAGTGACAAATACTGAGAATTTGAATATTTCGTTACAGATAGATAATTTTTGTATGCATTATTAAACGTGTGTAAGTACATGTATACGAATATAAAATTGCGTTTACCATGTTTGAATACATGTGGCATGAACTTGATCATAAAAAATTTATATCCAAAACGTACGGAAGGTCGGTGGGGACATTTCAACTATGATATACTGATCTCATCTTTTTGAGTTCACAATTTATCTTCGTGAATTTATGTTTGCGGATTTCCCGAAATCACGACTTCAACTTCACGATTTTATCATCACAAATTCGTGAATCCTGTATGTTGAAAAAAAATCCGGAAACAAAGTGTTCCCTAGAAAGCATTAATCACAACAAAATAACATAAGAATTGCAGACTCGGTTTGATTGAGTCTGTACATGAAGGATCATGAAAAAGTGTAACATCCCTCACACCCCTAGCACGGTCTTGAGTGGTACTTAATTCTCAACACTTAAAAGTGCTGAACTAAACGATCCCGAAGGACCAGAAAAATATACCAACACTGAAGTGAAGTATGGGGCAACTTTTTACGGCTTGACACCTGCTGTTGTGATGTATAAATATCTGGGAAAAAGTGATCCCTCGGAAACATTAATCACAACAAAATTACATAAGAATTGCAGACTCGGTTTGATTGAGTCTGTACATGAGGGATAATGAGTAAGTGCAACATCCCTCACGCCCCCTAGCACCGGCTTGAGCGGTACTTAATTCTCAACACTTAATAGTGCTGGCATCAATGATCCCGAAGGACCAGAAAAATATAACAACACTAAAGTGAAGTACGGGGCAACTTTTTACAGCTGCCACACAGCACTTGACACCTGCTGTTGTGAAGTATAAAAATCCGGAAACAAAGTGATCCCTCGAAAGCATAAATCACAACAAAATTACATAAGAATTGCAGACTCGGTTTGATTGAGTCTGTACATGAGGGATAATGAATAAGTGCAACATCCCTCACGAAATCTTGAATTCATGAAGTTGAAATTGTGAATTTGTAAAGATGAACCTAAGAATTCAAAAAGTAAAGTTAAAATGTCACCACCGGTTTTTAAATGTGTTAAATATATTGTCCTTTACCATTAATCGTAAAAGTTCCCTGGCATTTTTCTTTGAAGTTTGAGAATATTTGAAACGGATGTAAGTCTTTTATATGTATATGTTAGTGTTTATTAAGTGAATTTTCACAATTAAGAGCACCAAAGGAAGTGACCGGTAGGTAGCATTTATCAGTCAATCAGTCAATCAATACAATCAACATATAAATACAAAGGTTAGTCTGGCGACAGAGTGCACATTAATTATATATGTACTGCTGAGTTTCTTCAATGTTTTAATTTTTCTGAAAAATATCGGGCTGGAATAATTTTGTGATATCAACCTAATGCTAGCCCGTCTCTGCATGATTTTCTCGCGGAGGGTTTTTGGACATGGATATGTATAGCCTAATATACTAAATAACCCATAAACAATGTGAAAAGAGGGGTGAAACTAAACCCTTCACGTTAATTGACTAGTGTTTAAATGACAATCATCATCTATTTGTGATTAATATAATTATCTTAGTTTAAAATAACCAAAATGGTCGGATTTTATGTATTAATTCCATGAGGTTATAAACAAAGCGATTTCGCCACAAAAGGCGGTAATTTGCTGCATGAAGAAACGTTGACCAGTTTTCGCTAGAATTTTAACAAATTCGGGTCATAATAAGGCGGGGCTACTAGATTTAGTTTACACATGCGCACTTCGTTCCAAACTCATACTCAAACTCGTAATTAATAGGTGTTCGACTTAATAAATAAGTGACAAAATTTGCTTGGCTATACGATTAAGAAAAGCATTTTTATTGGAGGGATTTCATTGGTCGGCAAATTATGTTGAACAAGTCCAGTCAAATATTTTATTGTCAAAACAAATACATGTTCATCGCCAAGTTTCCTTGGCGAATATACCATATTTACATTACATAAGAATATTCTGGTATACGAGTTAACAAAACTACTACAAACAAATCAAAATGCGAATACGAGTCACAAAATTATATGACAATAAAGAAACAAATTCCTACATATATATAACTAACTGTTTGAGTTTCTCTTATACATAGCACAATAAATAAATTAAGCTACAGAAAATTAACAATTCTTTTTTCCGAAGATTGCATAATTGATATAAATTCAAGCACAATAATACCGAGGTAAGCATTGATTTCTCAATTCACTATATAGAAAAACTAAAGACAAACTAATGGGAAAAATGGGTATTCATTTTCTATTTGATTTATGCTGCATTTATTACATATACGTGACTTTCTATCAAACACTAATTAATATTGTATGATATAGGAGACAAAGGTTTCAAATCACAGTGAAACTCACAGTTAAAACATTAATGAAAGACATATAGTATAATTAAATAACACCTACTTTTTTGAATAAAAATATAATGATAGATTTAAAATAAATAATTACAGTCCTAATGTTTAAAAGTTAAAATTCAGTAAATTTTCCAAGCATTAAATAATCATCTAGTTTAGGCACAACGAGTCTATCTTAACTTTCATAACAAAAGTAAACACATTTATAATTAAAACAGGGGAAAACGGAATACCTAAATAACGCTCAAAACGATAAAACTGAAAAAAGTTGCAGACTTTACAGGTTTGATCGAGCCAATAGACGGTATTGGTAATGGCAAGCTACCGTCGTCGTCCATCCCACTAAAAGTACATATTAAAAATCAGTTTGACTAAGAAAATGCTTCCTGACACTGTATTGAAAAGACGAGATATTTCTGACACATCTAATATGCTGAGGAAGAGGGTACCGTAGAGTACAGCCATTGAAAGCAAATTATGTTCTGCCAGAGCCCCCTAACCTTGAGTTTTAATACCTTTAGCAATCAAGCATGTTAAGGTCTGAATTAGTTGAGTTATACTGTGTTCTAACTCTCAACCTAGTTTTCACACTGTGGATATAATTTACATGAGTACAATTGTCTCTAAAATATGAGGGCATATTTTAAAACATGGCCAAGTATGGTCTGGTTAACTCGTCTTTCAAAAGGCAATATATATACTGGATGGAAAGGCTATATACTGGTAAAAAAAACACATTATCAATGGTGATGTTTAACTTTATTTTCAGGAATTTATTTTTCATGCCTTTCCCTTTACTAAACAATTTATACATTAAAAATGTTAAGCGAAAAAAATGATTAACCAAATGACTTTTGAATGAGTAACGAATTTGACATTTGCATTGGAAAATAAAGTTAATTTCATTAAAAATTTAAAATGCCCATTGACATGCAATTTTTAACCAAATCCAAAATATCAACAGGAATACATTTTGAAGTTTCGGTTTAAAAATTAAACTCAACTAATCCTATCATTTATTTATTATTTGTTTAAATATTTAAACTTTGAGGCGTAGGTTAAACCGAAACACCGTATCCATTCTGTGTATTTGTATTATTGTGTTCGAGGTCCTTACCGAAGACTGACGAAAATTTGCAATTGCCAAAACAATCAAGAGTTTATTCTTTTCCAATACATAGAGAAAAATTGAAAGATGGAAGAAAATATGAAGATTAAAAAACATTATGAAATATTTTAACAATAACACTATATCACATAAAGAATGAAAAAATAGTTTATATCTATAACCCTTTTAATGTTTTTGTCGATGCGATTAAATAAAAACACATCAACTAGGGCCTATTGGTATTAAATCTGAAGACATGCCAACTTAAACCAGTGATATATGTAACGAAAGTATAAAACATGCGTGTCTTGTATACATAAAATGTATGAGTATATTGATAATTTCTCATGTTTAATTAAATATATCATTGTTGAAGCACCTCTTTAATAGAGCATTTTTTGTTTCATTTTGCATCAATATTTTAAATCAAATAAACAGAATTCATAATTTAAATATAGATCATTCGATATTGTAAATACACATATATCATGGAAGCATTTCAACAAATGGCAAGTCTCCATCGGCATTGTATCGATCTAAGCAATCATGATCTCCTGGGCTAAGACAAGGTGTGAAAACGTTTGTTTTGTAGTCAATCCATCCACTCGATTGTCCTGTGCTTATCCAATGTTCAGCATGTTGGTAAATTTCTTTACCGTATCTGTTTCTTACAAATAATCCAGGGTTTCTGGGCATGTTTACCCATTGACCATCTAAAAGGACTTTAGTGGGCTTTATTCCCTCTTGAATTAATAACTCGCTATCCATGATATGCTGGCCATACAATTCAATATTCCAACCGTTAAATCCTAACATGAATTTACCGCCAGCACTTCTGTTGTCTACACAGCACCAAAGGGATCCAAGATCAGAAAAATTAAATGCTGCATTTATAAAATCGGTTTCAAGTTTTTGAAAATCAGAATAGTTGGCTGTAAGGAACGTTATATCCGCATCTCTTTCCCATGGAAGAGTTTTTTCGAATTTTACTGCTCCAAGAGCAGTTCCTTCTTGTAACTCACAAATAATACCAGCTTTCTCACAATTTCTTAATATTGTTTTAACAGCATGAGCATTAGATTTTACAGAGCAAGGCGATAATGCCTTTGTATTGTGTGGATCATGATATTCAAGTGCACAGGTTCGCATTACAGTTTCTCTATATGGTGTAACAATTTTAAATAAATTCCATTTTTTCATAAATGCACTAAGAACACCATCGTGTTTAGACTGTAATGAGTTAACATGAAACATTGAATCAGGGCATGTCACAGTTTCGTCAGACTTCTGAGATATTCTAAGGAACCATTCTTCATATAAACCTTCTGTTTCACTCAAATTTTCAAACGTATTGATTTTTAAATGAGCTTTAGATGTGACAAAAGGACCTTGTATATAATCACAAAACAAGCACTCGTGTAGGGACTCGTCATATCCTTCCAAATACTTCAATGTCCAGTTCCTATACATAGCCTGGAAACATCCCTTTTTCCAATGTCCGTCAGAATTTCTAATTGCGCCTCCAGCTACTTTGATATTTAACATTTCTATCGCTCGTATAAGTCGCTCTAATCTAGAATCATTGGTAAATAGTTCAATATTTCTGGCAACGAGCACATATGGGCTTTTGACTCTGCTAACTATCATGTTCAAAGCCAATCCATCCGAAACATCTTTAATATTCAAAGCAGATAACTTTGGGTACATTACTTTAAGATCCGACAATAACTTTATACTGTTTGCAGAGAGTATGACGTTATACTTCGGATTGGTTCTATATACTGAAGAAAGAAACCGTTTCATTTCTTTTAATACTCTGTTTTCATTATGTTTTGAAACAATTACATGTTTAATAATCGTAACAAGTTTCCAGATAGGTATTTCATGTTTACATTTTGTGACTTCAAAACCCTTGTAGAAATATGGATACCCATAAGTTGTTCCCTTGTAAGTTTCAGGACAAACGTTGACAGGGTTATAGGTTGTCCTATTGTACAGCGTTGCAGGATTAATGTTCAAATCAATTAATAAAGAATTCATAGTATCCGAAGCACTCTTTAAGAAATCTGAGGTTTTAGAGCCTCTTACATGTTTCTTAGCACTGTTTATAAACTTTGCAATTGCAGTTACTTTTTCCATTATATTTGTAGAAACTTTGTCAGATTTTTTTAACATAAAACTTTTGTGACTAGGAAAATGTCTCTGGAAGTCCTCCATTCCAAAAGTATTTTGCCATGTGAAATCTACATTGCTCTGCAAATTAAAAAAAAAACATAGATCTGATTAAAAGGTAAATTACGTGGATATTATATGGAAATACAATGTATTATTTTTGTTTTTTCTAAGCCTTGCTTTTTGTTGTTAACATATGATAGCAAGTTACATGTGCTTAATACGGTAATTGTTCATATATATTTCTTTGTTACTGTAAATTACAGTTGTATTCACTAACAACTTCGGCATTCGAGTGATACAATTTAAAGACAATAAAACACATTAATGTCACAGTAATGTATCGCACGTAATGTAATAAAATGTTAATAAATTGTTAAGTTAAAAGTAGGTTAATTACCCGATGATAAGCAATTTAAGTTTTTCCGAAGAATTATTTCAATTTTTTACATTAAAAACAAAATGTTTTTATCAAATATCTCAGATATTTTGATTTTGTTTTTACCCTAAATTGGATTGTTTACGTATAGATCGGACTGTTCAACTGTCTATTGTCGATCCTGTTATTATATAATCTGTCTTTTCTTCATGTGAGTTTATTGCGCCCTGATTAAATATTGACATCTTCTACTGCATATTTTGAATTGCTTTAATTTAAATTACATTCTATGGAACAAAAATGAAAAACATGATAGTTCTCAGAACCCCTCATGTTTTTTCACTCCATCATAATTATACTTGATTTCCTTAATAATGTTAAACTTTTTAATAGTCTGATTTTTTTTTGTAAAGAAATGAAACAACGGACTGACGTCAATACTATTTAAACTTGCAAGCTTGGTTAGATGCATTATATTTGATATTTCATAAGCTATAAATATTTCTGGCCTTTTAAGAACTTGCAAGTATGACACGTCACTAGAGATACTTATATGTAAATGAAAAATGACCTGTAAAGATCACTATTCATTGAGCAAATGTTCATTAAAGCAAGTAACACTTAATTTGTTTCACAGCAAAGAACGCGTGTTTTGTATATCCTAATATACGCCCGAATGAGCTACTGTGTACGAAGCATATCAGAGCAAAATTAATTTTTGTTAGTAAGGCTTTCAATGTCAAAATATTAATTGGTTATGAGTTACATACAAACCTTGCGATAATATCCGGAATATAGAGAAGATAATGTAATCCACGCCAAAAACAAAACAAATACCATGGCAACAGCAACTCTATAGTGTATCCGAACAGTACGCATTTTGAAGTTGGACAAAAAACGTCTCTGAAACGTAATAAATCATAATGACGCAATAAGTTTTTCGCAGTTTTATGCCAAACAGTAGTCTCTTAGAGACGCTAAGCAGAATTGGAAACATGTAAATTTGAACCTATCTTTTACAATATAGTCTACATATCCAAACACATTCCATATTATTTATTCGTTACACAATATGCATCAAACTGGAAAATATCGATACGATCTACAACTTGAGTCTTACATGATGGCATTTACTGTTCCGGCGGACAATTTTACTGTTTCGGTGGACAAAACGAATCAGGAATTTATAGCTTTTATCTGTCGATCGAAATTTTATAATCATCATAGCAATGGAACTGCAGATACATCGTTCTTATAACATTATAGTGATTGTATGTCATCTTTCAAGTAAGATATTCTAATATTAAATAAAAATCATACACATAAATGTTGAAGCTAAGTATTGAGATCATATATCGCCAACAAAAGTTTTGATACAGTTGCTCTTTTTATCAGGCATACATTATTGGATAACTAAATTCTAGCCTATATTTTATTGTTATGTATCTCCAACTTGAAAATGAGGTTGTTGACTTGATTCAAAGAGGCGGGTGACGAGCTCAAGTCGAGCCCATTCAAAGGCATGTATCGTAACCTGAAGGTAATCGATCTGTAAAAGGTACTTTATAAGAACACAAACAAACTTCATATAGAAAACATGCCATGATCGAGTGACAACGTGTCTTCTTTTTGTCACGTAATGCTCTGTTATTATAAACTATAGACAAAAAGAGTGATGAATGAGACAAATTTATAAACCCTTTTAACGTATATATATGTCTGTGTGCGTATTTTGCATGTGCGCATTAGCGTGTGTGCGAGTGTGTGAGCGTGTGTGCGAGCGTGTGTGGTTGTACGTGAATATTTTATTTCTCTTTAAAAAGCAATTTTGACAATAGACAATACAAATATTTTTCATTTAATAAATACCTAAAGTTTATAACAACGTTGAATAATAAAAATTATTTACAAACTAAGCATATGATTTTGGTGTTTCTTGTATTGCAAATATGTGGTTATAAATTACTTACAGAACAATGATTATTTGTGAAAGGAAGAGACATGACTATCACATATTTTACACACTGTCATACTATACTACATATGAATTCAAATAATAACTGAGATATGATTCATGATGTTATAGAATACCATTGGCTTATATAAGATTTTGAAACTAGAACTAGGCTATTTCACATGGAATGAATTTCCGGTATTGACGTGATATTTTGTGGCGGCGTGGCCGAGTGGTTAACGTGTCGTACTAGTAATCTAAGGACTGCTGGTCGTGTAGGTTCAAATCCCGTCAAGAGCAAGCCGTTATTTCCGTGAGCAATAAACTTTATACTTATTGCATAGTAATAGTTGGTTCCAGGAATGGATTCGAGAGTGTTTCAATTAGGTTATAGCTTCCAACACAATCGAATAGAAATAAATTACAATAAACTAAAATGGTATTTGATTAGAACATAAAAAGCATACGGCTTGTGATCTAAATTACTAATAATAGTAATTAACAAACAGTCACAATAACCTTTTATGTAAAGGAGGACATAAAAAAATAGAATGGTATTATCTATTTATTTCAATGTCTTTGAGAATGATATGCCGTTTGAATTTGAATATTATAGTTCTTAGTAAACTATCAATATTTAACATGTATTGGTTACGCAGTCCAAAGATAAAAGGAACATTATTCTATAACAAAAATAATTACTGCTTCTATGTAAAAAAATACCTGAATAATTTATGTAGTTGTTTTTCTAAAAGTTCTGTGTGTTTTTTTTCAAATGAATGGAAGAATACGGAGTAATGTTAAATAACGACTTCAAACTTGAATGCACTATCCAAGCATGTAACCAATATATTGGTTTCAACTTCTCAATATATACATGTATATAATTCGCTGCTATCCTAGCTTGATCACATATTGACAAAACGGTTAATTTTTTACATATAAATATTTCTAGGCCTTTCTAACTTTAAATAGATGTTCTTTTAGTTGGTTTTGAATTTACATCGACACTAAAATGGTCATATGGTGGCTTTCTGGCTTCATCGACGAAGATCGTATTCGCCCCTCGGACTATCATTCCAGCATAACACGGGCAAACACCTACACTTGCGTGTGTGTGCGCGCGTGCGTGTTTTATGTGTGTGTGTTGTTTTTTTTGTTTTTTTTTTTGTTGTTTTTTTCTTTTCTTTTCTTTATATATAGAAATAGATAATAATAACGAATTGTTGCAGCAAAAACGGATAAAAAATTGCTTATTATTGTTTCCAGAAAATTGTAAACAGGATAACGTACTATATAACAACACGGCTAATGTCAGACATTTCATTTTTGCCTGTGCCTAGACAGGTATTTTATTATCGTTTGTGTAATCGTATTGCTAAATCATCTGGGTAAATAGTAATCTGAGGTACATTATTAATTAATTGATAAAACTATAATAACAATATAATACAAAGTAAACATTATTTTTCAATCAATTTTCAAAGAGAAGAATATAATTGTTATTGGTTTTAAATTCTAAGGAAGGGATCTTAATGAAACAGATAATAAATTAAGGGTAAATAGTATGTGAGCAAATATACTTCATGTTATTTTCATGTATATTTTTGTAATATCGTATGTTTTGGGTTATAAACTAAAAAAATCCATGTTTTGAATAGAACAACATCGTTTTATGCCGATATTGTTTACCCCTAGCCTGCTTGCAAGATCAGTCGCCTGGTCATGGTCTGCACTGTGCGCTATATTCAGTCAGTACATATTTTGAAAATTTCCCCTGCAGAGATTTAAAGATGGACAAGCTCATATTCTGCTTGGTTGGGGTTAAGAACTATAATCAAGCTGTTCAGTAAATAGAATATAGAGCAAGCAGTTCAGAAGTTACACATAATAACTTGCCAAGATTCCCCTTAAAAAGTTATTCTTCAAACCAACTTATTGATGAATAGATGTTTTACTATATACTTGTTTGCGATAACTTGTACTGTTGCTTTTTAAATGAGTTCTTTCTTCTTTTACATATATTATTATTATTGTGATAAATGATTACTATTCTTTTTTCTTCGGAGAACCATAAAGAAAATGTATTTCAGTTTAAATCTTAATTAATTAACTTTGTATACTTATATGTTTCCTTCTTGAAATAAAGATTGTATTACAATCATCATCATCATCATCATCATCATTCATTATTAAAGCGGCCTTCAGTTTTTATTTTCTGTTAGAAAAACAATTCTGTGTTGATTAAAAATAAATATTTCAGTAATTTTCATTTGGAAAATTGCATCAAATGCCTTTTTAAAAACAACGTCCCGAGAGCTATTTATAGCGCATCAGGGACCTTTGTATCTAGAAATAGAATAATTGTTCGCTTTCCTAATTTAAAAACACATGTATAGAGAGCGGACTATCGAGGGGTTTCCTTATTGTGTATGTATTTTATCGACGGCAAATTTCACTTTCCACCTTAATTCTTTAGATTTAACAATTATATGAAACGATACACTAGTATCTAAAAATAGCATGTTGAACCTTTCGAAAACCTGAAAGCCGCTTTAAAACATATTATCTAATGCAAAAATACCTCGCAATATCTTAAATGTCTAAACCATAATCCGCTATATTTTTGTCATGGATTTGTCCTGCTTTGAATTAAGAACAAATCGTTCATAGCTGAAGGACTTCAATATCAAAATAAGAATAAAAATACATAATAAAACTGAACAACCAACCAAACATGGTCGGACCAGCTGATGTGCAGGCAGGCCTGATTGCTAAAGGCTAATAACTTCCGGTTCTACCAGGTTGTAGGTTAAATGACATACATGCTGGTATTTTTTGTAAATAGAGGTGCAGAATATCAATATTATGGCAAGTTTTAAAATTTCTCTCTTTAATGAATAACATTGCTGCAAATCATAAAAAACCTTGTGCTTATCGAAATGCGTTTTAAATGAATAACGCCTATCGGCTAAATTTACTACGGTAAGATTTGCTATCTAAAATATTCAACACTTCAACTAACATAGAACAGAAAAAAACAAATAAGTTTCATTAAAACAAACAAAATTGTAAAAATATACTTACATTAATATTAATAATGTCCGCAAATCCTTTTCGGCCAATCAATTTATATACACATCTTGCCGCAAACGTTTTAAAACGTATAATGATATTACAATAACCGATGGGTCAATAGAACGGATTTTGGCAAATCTTGAAGATTAATCTATTGATAATTTATAGCCGTTGGTGGAAGTAAAAATCTACTAATATTGGTATTTGAATACCCATTTCGACTGTAAACCTTGCTATAAAAATGTAAAGTACACTTGACCATGCCCGCAATGTATTTTACAATGAACTGATAGCGGTCATCCGGCTTACGCCACGTTATATTAAATTCAAATAATGACTTAAGAAAACACGGTTTATAAATTTTAATCAATTTGCTTTCAAAACGGGTGCCTATGTAAATATATTGGCTTTTGTATCGGTTATTCTCGTATTATACAATCGTTTATAATGTAATATGGGGTATGTTTGCATTTCAAAATTTAACAGGACGAACAAATAAGACATACGGAAGAAACATCACATTTGGTTTTGCTTCAATTATTTGGTTAAGAATAAACTAAACTCATAAATTTACTGGTTTATGATTACTAAATTGGTATCGCTACTCGCTAATTCTTAGCATAATTAAATCGTTATCTCATGACAATGCTTTCAATCACAACCAATTTTAAATTTCCGGATTGTGCTTAACAGAAAGTGTGTGCTTAGTTGATTGGAAATGTTGTATACATACACGTAGTAGTAAAGTTGGGACCAAAATTCGCAGAAAAGTATACATGTATATAGACCATGCTATACTTTAGTATATATTAAAGCTTGATAATGTCCAGAATTCTGGTGCCGTGTAACTAACTAGCGGAAGTGTGAAAAGTAAATATTGCAAAATTGTGATTTTTTTTGTTTGGTGTTTTTTTTTTTTTTTTTTTTTTTTTTTTTTTTTTTTTTTTTTTGGGGGGGGGGGGGTCTCTTTACGTGACCATTGACTATTAATAGATTTGACTTTAGTTATAATCACACAATAACTTAAAATTTAAGACCGAATGATTGATCATAAAAGTACTTAGTTCAGAGATAACAAGCAATTATCATAGTATTGCAAGCAATCCATAAGTCCCATACCGGTTAGAACCCCAGCAACATTCTGAAGGGCCACTGGCCATTCACTAATGTTTCAATTTTTCTCTTTTTTAAGAAAATTTGTTGAAAAAGTTCTTTAAAAGTGATCACAGGAAACAGTTTTTATGAACAGACAGACTGAAGGACACTCTAAAGTTATTTTTTTAAATTAACCCTGTTACCAAAATATAACACTTTTAAAAGCAAAATTCTTAAAGAGGAGATAACTCTTAAAATAAAGATCCAAGATGTCATACATGATGTGAATGTAACAAAGAACAATTAGTAATGAAGCTGTTCATAATGAATCGTTATTTTGAATTTGAAGTAATAGAAAGTTAACAGAATGAATAAGAAAAATTCAAAGTTTAAGGAGGAGATAATTCTGGAAATAAAGATGCTAGATTTATAAACCTTGTCATATTATTATGATGTGGGAGTTTGAAGTAAATCCTATGAGTAATGAAGAAGTTGGGAGTAAAATATACCAATTTCTCGAAAAAAAAATCTAAGTTCAAGGGGGACATAATTCTGGAAATAGTCTTGCTAGAGTATTGAACCTTCTCACAAATGATTTGAGTGATAATAAGAAACATATATATGAAGTTTGAAGAAGATACATTAAGAAATAAAGAAGTTATTAAAAACACACTTTTTTTCATGTAAGAAGTTATTAAAAAAACACATTTTTTTCATGTAAGTTCAAGGGAAGCAATTCTGATATTGTTTGTGCTAGAGTTAAAACCTTGTCACATATGATGTGGTTGATGACCAGAAACTTGTTTGAAATTTGTTCAAAATACCTTAAGAAATAAAGAACTTATAAATAGTGAAAAAGCCTTAAAACTAGAATAAGAAATATTGACGAGGTTGCCGACGTTTGTTAATTTAAGTTTCATAAAAAATTCCAGCTTTTTTGACTTATCACAAATATTGTTATATTTGCCATGTTTTAAGCCTATTGGTTGCCATGGCAACCTTTTTTTCAAAATAGGTGAAAAAGAAACAGACATGCATAATCTCCACACTGCCATCTACCCATATTTCAAGTTTCTTAAAAATATTTTCCGTACTTTTGCATAATCACTAGATCAGTTTATGTGTTAAATGTGCCATATTTTTAGTCTATTTGTTGTCATAGCAGCCAGAATTTTCAACAGAGGAAGAAAAGAAAAAGATGTGCATAATTTCCAGACTGCCATCTACCATTATTTCAAGTTTCATAAAAAATACCTCCAGTACTTTTTGCCTTATCACTGGATCCAGTTTATGTGTAAAATTTGCCATATTTTCAGTCTATTAGTTGTCATAGCAACCAGAATTTTCGACACAGGAAGAATACAAAAAGACGTACATAATCTCCATGCTGCCTTCTATCCATATATTAAGTTTCATAAAAATATTTTCAGTACTTTTTGCGTTATCACTGGATCCAGTTTATGTGTAAAATTTGCAATATTTTCAGTTTATTTGTTGCCATAGCAACCAGAATTTTCAACATAGGAAGAAAAGAAAAAGACATGCATAATCTCCATGCTGCCATCTATTCATATATTAAGTTTCATAAAAAATAGTTTCAGTACTTTTTGCGTTATCGCGGGATCCAGTTTTGTGGACGGACTGACTGACGGACGGACGGACTGACGTACGGAGGGTAAACCTAAAGTCCCCTCCGGTTAACCGGTAGGGGATTAAAAACTACATAAAAAGTTTTTCATCATTTTGCTATCACTACAGGGTAGTGACATCATTTCAAATTGTGCCTATGAATTAAATCACATATTTGCAGCGAACCTTTGCCCACACCTATCGTCACAAACCATAGTCAACTTTTGTGTATTTGACCGTAAAAAAATACTTACAAATCATATCACTATAGAAAGTTATTTCTACTGTCTTATTTTATTGAGTATAGAAATAAATTGCACATATCTACAAACACTGGCAATATATTTTTTATCATAGTTTTACGTAGTATCATCTACACATATAAAACATAAATAAATATTCAAAGAGAACGAACAATGTTTAGCCATATAGGTCACGTCATGTCTTTCGCCTACTTTAGAATCAAATATAAAAATTATAGATAAAAAAGTTTTGACAATTTTAGCAAACTATAATTTGACCTTGAAGGTCAAATAGTCAAGGTCATATTATAATAATTCATTATTTAATTATTAACATGCCGATTTTGTCGTTTGTGTTCTTTTTGTGTGTTTCTGTTGGAAAAGACGAGCTAATAACATTATTTTCAATCGTCATAAATAGTAATATATTCAAATAAACTTCGTCACTGCAAGTAAATGTCATGCCATTAATTCTAACACTCGCGTGATTTTGTCACTATAGACAAAGAAAGAAAAAAACTGGTGTTAAACTGCCAATAAACACCAGTTAGGGACTACTTGTACATGTGCTGTTATGTTTTCACCCTCGATTGTATAGTTTACAAAGCATTTTAAAGCAACAATTAAAAGCATTTTTATTTAAATTTTCAGTTTGTATAATGATTTCTTTTCATACAATACCGAAATAATATCTCACATACACTAACACCACATATTAGATCCATATCAGTTAATAAATATTTTGACAAAACGCGCCAATCCGTAAGCAGCGTAATGACGTCATCGTAAGTAAACAACTCATTCATAAACACGCTGACGTTATATCATACAGACAAGAATGATAAATAGGGCACTGATGTAAACACAATACGACGTATGTTTTTAATGTTGAAAACTTGATAAAATAACGTGTTTTTTCTTATTACATTTTCAATCAATGTATTTCTTTTGTCTAATAATTTCTCTATCTTCGCAACAGTAGGGTGCGAAAATCGAACAGCGTTATAGGAAAATCGGCACCGGAAGTTATTTCCGCTTGAAAAATAACATTAGTGATTTTCCTTATTTCATCGTGTTAGAATCGAAATAACATCGGCCTGAGAGGTGTATATCGGCTATTTAACACCGGTTTTGTCGTTTTGATGCGACAAAATTAACCACTCAGGCCTATGGCCTTCGTGGTCAATTCCTACGCATCAAAACTCCAAACCGGTGTTAAATAGCCGATATACACCTCTCAGGCCGATGTTATTTCTTAAATATATCATTTGTAACAGCAGTGAGGGATGATAGTATCAATTACCCGTATGTTATTGTGAACCAAATTTTCATGGAAATCTCTTGTTTACTAGTACATTGTAACTGTATTTGAAAAAGGAATCGTACTCTAGATTCAGACATAAACAAAACTGTCAGATATACAGGATTGTGAGGCAATTTTAATTATTACAATTATAAACGATGCACACTTCATAAGCACATGTACTAAAAGAAACCAAGATAGGATGTTCCAAAATAAGCAAAGTACGTATCAATAAACATAATATGCCCTTTTTTCAAGTAACAAAACGTCTAACTCAAAAACTCCTAGATGATGTTGATGAAACTTGGTATCCTTATTTTCCAGTTCATATTAACATTTCTGCCAGAATTTAAGCAAAATTTAATAATTTCTAGGACATTGATGCAAACAAGACATTCTTCTTGGATTGACGTTGATCTAAAAAAAAACATAAGAAACGTATGGACGGAATGAATAAAATATTCATTCCATAATGTCACTGGAGTCCGTACAGACAGACAAACATGCCACTTAAATTGACTAAGGGACCATTTCCATCAGCCTTATAGGGGCCCTTGGCTCCTTATCTATTGTACATGGAATACAAACAAAAGAATACTGGTAAGAAATTTATCTGTATTTTTTTATTTCAAATGTAATGTGATTACAATTAACAATGGCTGATTAAAAACACAAAGAAAGAAAGAAAATAAAGTGTGGATATTTTACTTGCCTTTCACTTAACTGTATATAAAATATAAGCACATAATACAAACAAAATGGGAGCAGAATTTTGTCCAAAAATATTGTCAATGATTATTCCTCAAATAAAACATGCTTTACAGAAAAGCTAAGCTTGTGCATTTATAAACATTGCCAATTATGCCAACAAGCCTTTACCCTTTAGCAAATTAGTATTATTATATCTCCTGCTAAGAGCTGGACACATTGGCTGGAGCTGGACACAAGGTAATTGCATATTGCTTACAATGAACTTGATTTTCAATGTATCATATTTCACTCTTTTCCTGATGTGGGAAGTCCACTGTTCTAACTTAGCAATATCTGCCACACATATATTAAAACACAGTATGTTACTATGGCATAATGGAGTGTAATAACGATATCTGCAAACATATATATTTGTAAAGTGTTCTATATACTGTTTACATTAAATTTATCCTCCAGTTGTTAAAACTATATCATCACACAGTTCTTAGAACTATCATCAAAGGTGGGTTTTGTGTAACTATTAAACAAACTCTTCACTTTATTCAATCTTTCAAATGTTCAGCAATGTATTGCATACTTCTATAGTAAACTATTTTAAATCCCCCTTTATTCATTTCTTTTAATATTTCTTAACACTTAGTTGTTGTACTATAAGTAGAGTACCAGTAGTTTTCCTGTCAGAGACCTTTCACCTTTAAATTTCCTGTCACATATGCTATGAAAGCCTTAAGTAAAGGTATACCTTCTCCTGTTACTGAACTGAAATTGGAAACAAAAGAAATATATAAGCATTTCATTCTTTACTGTCAAATGAAAACAACAGCATTCAGGGTGGTCTCCCTTTAACTTCTTAGAAAATGTGAAATACAGCAACTTTCTAATTTATAGTAAAACTTTGAAGCAGGTTTGGCAAAATTAATTGTCTGTATTGCCTAGATTGTCCTACAGCCTGTACATACAAGTGGAAATTTACATAAATACTATATAAATATCATACGGACAAGTAAAGAAATGCTTCAGATAAAAACCAACAAGTAAGTTGAAATAACATTTTGCCAGCCTTGAAAAGGATATCTAAGATATGAAAAACTTTAGGAAAAAATATATGACAAAGACAGGATAATCTAAATTTCACTGAATTCTGTACATTATAAGTACATTTTATATATATATAAATAATAAGTAAGTGTTGTATTATAGTGACATGTATACATTGAAACTATTTTTTTATCTTTGTTATTTACTTTAAACAATATTTACTTATAATCTATACATTTAGATAATAAGATACATAAAATAAAATTTACTGATTGAGAAGGAAGCTTGAAAAGCTTTTTTGATACTCTCTCATTAATCAGTATTTAACAAATTTCAAATGGTAACAAAATATTAAATATATAAACTAAACTATATATTTCATATCGACTTGTGCTTGCTTTCTTACATATGCATACTATCTTTATAATAAGTATTCATGAACTAAATTTAAGATCCATTACTGTTTGATTTGAGGTATAAGCACGAGTTAGAATTAATTTTTTGTTATTTATCATATCAACTGATGAAGCTTATTAAAGCGAAACAAGTTTTGACAAACTGTATTGGTTTGAATCTTTTTTGATTAAACATGTTTGTTTGTAATTTTTTTAACCTATATGTAATTATATCTAATTATTTCAAAATCATAGACGTTAAAAATATTAAATAAAAAATTTTCTATCTTAAAAATACAATTTATTTTCAACTAAAAATGAGCAGTGATCTTTCTTTTTTTGATGGTCAAATAATTACTGCTGATTAACTGTATAATAACAGAAAAGACCCCAGGTAAGTTAAGGAATGTCAGAAGTTCTACCATAGTACTGATGTATCTGTTCAAGACTATAATAATGCAGTAATGTAGGTAATTAAAAGTTTCTAAAAGTTATTTACTCCTCGCATAACATTAGCCATTAGTAGATACTTATGAGTAAAACAAACAACAAACAACAACCTAGCTTAATTTTGCTTTTACCTTTAGTTATAAATAGAGGATATTGAATGAGTGTAAGTTCAATACTGAATTTATTGAACAAGATGAATAAAATTATATTATGCGAGCCTCACATACCCAAAATAAAACCAATAAAAGTGAATAAGTCATTGACGCGCCTATAGTATAGCGCTAACATTTTGTACGTCTTTACACTTTGTTTGTATATCGCAAATGACGTCACGTCAAAATATATGCACAACCGTGCAATACCATTTTTACAGAGTCGCAAAAGCGGCACAGGTAGGTGATGAAGAGGTTTTCAAAACTTAGATAAGAGAACAAGAGTTCTAGATTATCCACATATAAGAGTAATTGATGTACCTACCTCACCAAGAAAGGCTGTGGAAAACAGTGCTGTGTTTTGTCTCTATATCGTAGAACTGTCATAAAACTCTTCAATAATGTAGATGGTTTATTTTTGTCAATCTTAGTCAATACAATCTAAAATGAAAACAAATAAGTCACTGTAACATCCAACTACTTAATAACATTTCAAACTTTTAAAATATACATAGAATAACAAGTATGTGGCTTTTTATTTCTATCTATGTTTATTGTCAAAAAACATCAATACAATCTTTACCAAGCTCAGAGATCATGAAGCTTATTTTGCTAAATATATCTTTAAAATTCACTGGCTATAACAACAAAATTATTATATGGATACATCTTTTTAGCTACAGATAAAATATTACTGTTTACTTAAGTTAAGTTTAAAACATATAATTGATTGAATTAAAACCTTTGCTCAAACAAATTCATTATTGGAGTTAATATAGCCATTTCCAAGGCTTAAAACAAAAGGAATTATGTGTATAAACATTCATGTGTATAAATAAATGCATTATTTGATACATGGTTTCCTTTACACAAACTAGAATTTACAGTCTATGTTGCCATGTTTAACAATAAAATAAAACATTGTTTTATTCAATATAATTTTTATGAAATGAGACTCTATCAGAGAAGGAACTTTGTTCTAAAAATAGATTGACAACTTGACATACACAATAATCAAAATTCATGGAGTTAATCATTTCTAATCTTGCAGCATCAACAGTATTAGGCCCATGACCATCATACAGTAAGAATGTCATCTTCAAACTACAACAAATATATAAAAAACTGACTTAAATCTGAAACAATAACTTTATATCTGAATCACCAGAAGATCTGGTCCAGACTCGAAAATTTTGAGTTCAACAAGATCACCGCATGCAGTGTTAATGCTCATCTGTAAAAATAACCATGTCTGACAAAAATTCTTAGTTAAAAAGGGGAATAACACCAAAAATATGCCTTTCAGAATCATTCCCCTTGTTTTACAAGAAGTGCCTCTTGTCATGATAAGCAAGTATTCCAAGTTTCATACTGACATCTTTCAATTTATTTGAGTAATGAGCTACATTACATATTTTGCACAACGCCAATGACGCAGCGATCATAATAGCTAAACTTTTTCTTCAAAACAGACAAGCTTAAGAATGAGAATTTCATAAATTTAGTATTTGAAAGGGCAAGTCCATTGTTCAGTGAAAGGGTTTAACCAAATGTTACACTGTAAAATAGTTAAACCTTTACCACCTTAAATTTGAATAATAAACAAGTCCACTCCAAACTTGGAATTCTCTTATGGTATTTTAAGGGACTATGATATCATGAAGCATAAAATAGGCAACCAGCTATAGAGTCTGGGGCCTGGCTCTATACTGGTGGTAATTTTCCCCCTATCAGTCAAATGTTAAACTCACAACATAAGGTATAGAGAAGTCTTCCAGCATATTCAGTCCTATCACATCATTTTCTGTCACACCTACAACACTATCTATCAAGATAAATGTACGACTCAATCTAAATAGAAATATAATCATAATATATTTGTTATGGTAACAGAAAATTAACTATATAGACTTAGTGAGAAAGACTTTTTTATAATGCTTCTGACTCAATGTAATCCAAAATGTAAATGCTGACTTGTGATTTAAACAAAACAGACTTTTCATGATACAATTCACAATATACTTCTACCTCTGCAGAGCTGGTGCCTGTAGATCAAACACCTCTTAACAGTATCATTTTTTTCTGAAGCAGGACTTCACAATAAATTTACGCTGAGGTGCAGCTCTATACATTGTCAGGCACAAATATGCATCTAAGTAGAACCACAGACATTTTGTAAGCTAGCTGGATAGCTTTCTCACATGTAGAATCCAAGGAAGCTGGCAAGGCTCGAACCTACTGCTGTGAGAGGCAAGTGGTTTGAAGTCAACGATCTTAACCACTAGGCAATCATCAATGTAATATGTGTGACATTTATTTTGTGTAAGAGATATTTAATTTTCAAACAATAGACATAAATATCTACCTATGATAAACAATGATCAATTATTTCATCTCCATGTTTTGTAATCTACCAAAAAAAGATCAATTCCACAAATTCTTATTCTTGCAATGCACATCAGACAAAATTTTCTAGAGTTTAAACTGGAGCTAGAAAATCTCATCCCACACCCCATGTAAAACAAGGTAAATGCTTTAAAATTACTTCATTCCTACACTTTTTATAAATAAATTGTGTGCTTACATGTCCCCATTAAGAATGAAATTCTTAATTCAAACCCTACTGTAAGAAAATAATGCTAAATAAAAATATCTGTTTTTATCACTTCACTCCAAATTATGATTTATCTGTACAGTAAATATACAAGAAAAAGATTTACACCTTGTCTGAGGTTTACTGACAGGAATACCCAGGTCTTGTGTAACTGTTCTGTGGAATGTCGGCACAACCTTATTACCCCTGAAAACCGGTACACTTGAGCCAGATATTCCAGTCTGTACTGGCCATTACTATTATAAGATTCTTAAGTTCTAAAACTAGTACTTGACAGAAATGTGATACAAACTTTTTCCTTGAGTTAAGGAAGCTTTCAACCGAGTCAGCATAATGATGTGGCATATTGTAGCCGTAACCAGGCATATCAACTAGTGTAAACTTCTTCCCTACCTGGAAAAAGTTTAATAGCTTTGTGTGACCCTGAAAATAAAACATTTCAACAAATTATTGTCATCCAAATCATATTGAAATAAAATAGGGTTAAATGGTGGCTGCAATTCTGATCACTCAACCCTAAAAGGCTGTTAACCCCTCAACAGAAACATTTAAAAATGTCATCATGTACAACTCTGCAGTTATAGGAGCTCCCTTGATTTCGAAAATATAAAATTTGAAATACTTATACAGATCATGTGAACCACTTAAAAAAGTTACAATGGAAAAACCTGCAAACGATAATAAAGAAATATACATGTACAAATGTACTCTGAATTATATTGAAGATCGATTTGATTGAAAAGCATTTTAGGTCATCTGCTCAATAAAAATGACTATTCTGGAAAACTAGCTGAGGGAATGATCTGACAAATTGCACACAGATTATTGGTTAAGACCAACAACAAATTGTCCAAATATCTGATTCTCTTAAAAATATTCTAGGTCCATTTATTTCAATAAACTTCAAAGGAGTCTCTTCAAGACAGTTTAAATGAACTTACTGGGCTTTTGGAAATTCTAACAAAGGCATCAGATTGATTGAGTAGCATTGAAATCAATGATGATTTTCCTACATTACTTCTGCCAATAAATGCCACCTTAAAGAAAGAATTATTTTATTATATAATTGCCTATTCAAGTAATTTTCAAGGTGGAAATTACAAATTTAATAAGCTCTCAAGGATAACTTAACTTAATAACTTTGCAAAGGATTGATATGTAAATATTGATGAATATTAATCTAATGCAGGTAATACCAGTTCTACAGTATTATCATCATATCACATCATATGTCAGTTACACATACAGGCCTCTTTCTCTGTTTTGGGACGAACATTACCTGTACTGTACCTGGCAACTTTTCACGTCATTTTCTCTAATAGGGTGAATTTCAGGCAAATTATGCTGCTCATACATGTAGCACGGAAATGGTGCTAAAATTCCACACAAAAATTCATTAATTGCAGAGCCTAACATATAAAATTTCTCTATGATGTGTTGTTCTACATATGTTTCTTTGTTTACTTAAAATGAAAAACATGTATAACCTCTGGTAAATCATAATCTGGCAACTGGTCCTCAAACAAAGCTGACTTCAAAAACTGAATATTGTTGTTGGGACTCTGTACGTACATCTTCTGGGCTTGAACAACTTCCCGTTTTGATGGCTTAAATATATGCTTCTCACTAGGAAGTAATGGAACAGCTGTAGGTAATATAAGTTCAAATATAGTATATATCATATATAAATCATTAATTTATCAACAATGCTGTGTAAGAAGATTTTTTTGTAGATTTATGACATAGAAAAACAAAGATTCTTTTAAACTCTTTGTCAGCTGAATTTCTTAAATGGAATAGGCTAACTTCAATTTTTAGAACTGTCCATTATCAACAACAAATAAGTTGCTCAGCCAACAGGATAGAGGCAGGTCAAACTGCATAGATGTGCAGGGTAATCCTGACTCTATTGGTGGCAAAGGCTAATAACTTTTAGATTCCGAATGTTAAGAGTTAAAAGTTTAAAAATGAACTAAAAAAAAGTTAAACAATTTAGACAAATAACATTTAAAGTAAAACCAAACCTAAAGAAAACACTATCAGTGTTTGAGATTACTTAAAACTAATATACACTTCATCATTTGTAACTACATTTATATCAGCAGAGGTTCATTTTTACAAATATTCTGTATCAAACATGTTTTCAACAAGAAAATTCTTCATATTACATTTTAAATTTGCATACATTAACAAATATTTACTTTAACCTAAAAAGTTTCCACCCTCTATTGCCAATTATATTCATAAACTTCATTTGAAAGAATAGTGAAAGACCTCATAATCAAACAGCATGTGTTTTAAAAATTGGACATTTCATGGTTTAAGAAATTTCATTAATTTTACTAACTAATTGATTATTTACTTACAAACAAATTTTTGAAGTCTATCAAGTGGGTTCAGAATTTCATCATCCTTCAGACCTGCTTGATCAGGTCCAGTTTTCATCCCTCGTTGTGTGACATGATGCAATACAAAACTTTTACCACTGGTAAGCAAATTCGAGGAACAATGTCTTAAGCATTGCTTACGATATGAGGTTACATTTAAAATTCCATTCCATTCTTTTAATCTTGTAATCTTACAATTAACTTTCCTTTTGAATACAAGAGACTTATTTGCATGTGTGTGATGGAAAGAAAATAACTTGGACAAATCTTGAGTTTGTCTTTGTAAATGTGAGTACATTGAACATTTTTCTTTAGCTGAAGTTCTGTCTTTGCATAGAACAGTATAACATTTCTTCCACAATGAGCTCCCTTGATTGAGCACTGTAGTCCTCCCAGTTATTGCCCTTGAATTACCAAGGCATTCAATGGTGTAACAAATTGTGTTTTGTTGCAATACAACACAGCCTTTCTGTAACAGCTTCATACTTCATAAAGCATCTGAATAAGAGAAAAGTCAGTATAATAATTATTTTAAAACAATCATGTTTTCATTCATTGGTTACAAAAAAGATATATGTTAAACAGATATGATGATTTTACAAGTTAATTTCAGGTATTTAGTTCATCTCTTTTTTTTTTTTTTGTAATTTTTTTTCCTTTCATTCCACCTCCATTCCCATTGATTTCATCATTTATATTTTTTTTTCTTCTTTTATTATTATCCTCTTAAACAACTCATTTTTAACTCATTAAGTTCTTTTGCTTTTTGTGGCCCTAAATACGTCCCTGCGAGGGGTTACACAAATTATACTGGGAGATGGAAAATAGTCAAACAAGTTGTATTATACGCTTCAATATTGGGCTATACACCAATAAACACTTTCCCCAACTAGCAGACGACAGGCAATTCTTATCAGTAGGTTTTCGAGTAAAGATAACCGGTTGCGTATCTCACTGTATAAATCGTATGTAAAATGGTCTGACATATGGTAGGTTTAACAGTTAATTTAAATACTTTGGTGACAAAAGATATCTCAAATTATATAGTGTGACAAAGCTAAGATCCCAAGCTGTCCGTTGATGTAATAATTTTTAAAATCGGACATTTAATCACAACAAACTAGCAATTTAGAAATGGCTTAATTTGTATTGTTTTTGCATAAGAGATACCAATTTTACTCGAAGATAAGGGAAACAACTCGTATTTTTTCACTCGATATACCTCGGTTATTTACGTAGTTCATATGAAAAGTGTTTATGGGTGTATTCCACAGGAACTTGAAATTCTATCACTATTTACGATAATATGCAAAATATACCCCCTATATACTATAAAAAAACACAAGGAATGGCTATTCTATGTATGGGAAATATCTCCCCTTTTGAATAAACAAGATTCTGAGCAAGAACAAAAATATCTCAGAATCTAGCTTGGCAGAACTTGTCAATATATTTTGACCAAATGAAGTCGTCCAGGACAGAAGTCTCAATATTTCGACTGCAAGACCGACCAATTGTACAAACAGATATAACATAGATGTCAGCGAAAGGCGACCATTGTTTATATAATAAAAAGCCCTGGTGCACAATTTATTGGGCTAGATGGACAGTTGCTTGTCCAAGTACTGATCACCTGATGAAAGCTGTATATTTGTAAACAAGAGAGAAATCACATGGCAAAAGAAAACCGATTTACAATGTGATATTACATAGAACGATGTCTGAAGTGCTATCATCGTCTATATAACAAAAAGCCGGCGCCCAATTTGTTGGATGTTCGGTACCCTCTAGCTCAAAATTTGGCATTTTGACGTCCCAGTTTCAGTTCAGTTTTTATTAAACCAAGGCATATAATATGCAACTGGTTATAACAACAAACAAACAGAAAAATAACAGTCAAAAATCACTAGTATCACAATATAAAAATACAAATATGACTAGCTTAATAAACAAAAAGGAGATCATATTGTTCATTTCAAGTTCTGAATTCAATACGACATGTATTTTATATTGTAACAAATGAGAACGGAGAATGAGAAGTATTACTTATCTAAATTTTAACATAATGTTTTTACAAAATAAAGATAATTTTAGAAGAATATTTTTATCACAACTATTCATCAATGTGTCAAGTTTAAAAATATTGGGATGAGTGTAAAACCTGGGATGAAGAGATTTACGTCTTATGTCATTAAAGTACGAACATTCAAATAAGTAGTGAAATTCATCACCAATAGCTTGATACGGACATAAGGAACAGACCCTATTATTATGATCAATTGCCAAGTGTCTGCCTTTTTCGATTGGTAATAGGTGATTCATTGTTCTAAATTTACATAAATATTTGCCTATGTCAAAAGGAAGTACATCTAGATATTTTTCAAAACAATGAGTATTTTTATATGTACGATACACTAAACACTTAGAGGATGTGTCAATAGTACTATGCCAATCTTGTAAAAATTGATCTTGTAGTCTAAGCTTCACAACATTTTTAAAGTGATTAATATTATCTACCTTCTGTAAATGAAAATATTCTGACATGCCAAGATTACTAAGTGTTTCTTTCACAAAATTTATCCATTTAGAATTAACAATATTCCTAGAGGACAAAGACAACATTGTTTTATAAAGAAGTTTACATATCTTATTTTCCTTAGCATTTATAATTTTACTCCAGAAACACAAAACTCTTGCTTTCACTTGTAAGGCTAATGGGAATATGCCTAACTCACCATAAATCATACAATTCGGTGTAGAAGCTTTTAAATTCAAAATAAATTTACAAAAATACAACTGAAATTTCTCTAGAATTTGAACTTGTTCGAATCCCCAAACTTCACTTCCATAAAGAAGAATAGGTACAACCATAGAGTTAAATAAATGTAGTTGCAAAGAAATTGGTAAACACAATTTACGTGACTTTTGGATCACAGAAAACATTGCTCTTCTAGCATTATCAACAAGAATTTTCTTTGATTTCAAAAATTTACCATTATAATTAAAAAGTACTCCAAGGTAAGTAAAGTTATCTACCAAATCAAGCTTTTTACCATTGTACATGAAATCAAAGTCATCCTTAGGTTTTGACTTACTAAAAACCACTACTTTAGTCTTAGCTTCATTTACAACAAGATTCCACATATTACAGTACTCACTCATAGCATTTAAGGCATCTTGCAAATCAGTTTTGCTTTCTGCTAAAAGCACTGTATCATCAGCATATAACAGAAGAAACAATTTAACATAAACATCAATGACATCGTCACTGAGACATTCCCGAGTTGCGTTAGAGATATTTACAAGTCCTGTATATTTATTAGATACAAATTCTGACAAATCGTTCAAAAAGATAGAAAACAAAATTGGTGAAAGATTTTCACCTTGACGTACACCGGTATAACTACTAAAGAAACTAGTCAACTCACAGTTTACTTTAACACAAGATTTAGCCTTACTGTACATATTGTGGATTATACCAAGACACTTACCATCAATATTATGTGACAAAAGTTTGTGCCATAAATGAAGTCGATTAACAGAATCAAATGCCTTCCTATAGTCAACAAATGCACAGTAAAGCTTTTTATTACAACTTAAATAATAATCAATTAACATCTTTAAGGAAAACATATGATCAGTAGTACCATATTGTGACCTGAACCCAGCTTGTTCTTCGTTAAGTAAATTGTGGCATTCCAAATACTCATTCAGTCTCTTATTTAGTATGTTGGTAAATAATTTGCCAAAACAACTTAAAATGGTAATCCCTCTATAATTGTTGGGGTCAGATTTGTCACCCTTATTTTTATATATAGGATTAATAATACCCTGACTCCAAATATCAGGAAAAATACCTGAATCCAAAATAACATTAAACAATAAACAAATAACATTTAAAACAGATTCATTATTTACATTTTTTAGATATTCATTTAATATATTATCAAACACAGAAGGACTTTTATTATTTTTTAATTTTTTTACAACTTTTTTAATTTCCTCAATAGTTATTTCTGCATTTAGGAAGCTATTATTACAACTTATATTCTCAAGATCTAAATCGTCTTAAATGTCAACATCTAACTCAGACTCTTTTAATTTAACAAAATGTTCAAAAAAGACTTCTTTTGAGAAATATTATTTACAGTATCCCTGCTATCCGTGTAGTATCTATTAAACAAACTCCAAAAAGCTTTTGGGTCTGACGACTTTAAAACAAGTATCCGTGTATTAATATTATCTTGATAAAACTTTATCTTCTTGTTTATCATCTTTTTATAAGATTTTCCACTAGACACCATTGATTGGAAGTTAGTATCAGTCTTATTTCTTCTATAATAATTCTTATCTGACAAGTATGTTCTTCTTGCTACTTTACAATCATCATCAAACCACTCTTTCTGACGTGATTTCTTACGTCTTTTAGTACTTTTTTGTACAGTATTTTTCACATCAATAATCAAGTGACAGCTATCAGCAGCATTATAAAATAGTTGAGAAACTTTCTCAGTAAAGTTATTAATAGTATTATCACAATAAGTTTTACTTGTCAACAATTCTGAGAGTTCTACTTGTAATACAGAAACACTGTCTAAATCAAAACTATTTTTAAACACATCATTCACAGCTTTAACCCATATGGGCTTTTTAACAGTAGCACCACTGTCATGAATATCAGTGACACATGAACTATTTTGTGTTAAACATAAAATAGAATCAAACTTAATACAAAAAGAAATGTTATTATGAATATCCGATAAAATGGGGTCAAAATCGCAAATTTCAAAATCAACAATATTTGGAAAAACACATGGTGAAAGTAAAACATAATCAACTAAACTTGTATTTTTACAAGTAGTTCGACCAACATGAAGGTCACTACCACATCTACCATTAGCTATCAACAAATTTATGGACTTGCATAAGTCAATCAAACGGTTACCAAAATTGTTTACATTACTACTATCTTTGGAAGATCTATCCAATGTAATACCATTATTTAACAGGTTAACAATAGACAGCTGTTGTCTAGTAATACCATCAAAGTTTGTATCCAATATGTATTTATCAAATTCAATATAATCTTTAAGTGTACCTGTTTTAGCATTAAAATCACCCATCAAAACAAAGCTGACTTCACCATACATAGTTATAATATCAACAATATTATTTTCAATCTTGTCAAAAATTTCAATATTAGAATACACTGACCCTTCAGGAGGAATGTAGATGACAGAAAATATTAAATTTGAATCATTATACTTATACCAAAGACAATTTTCTGTACTTAGTTCTAAAACCTGAATATTATCAGACAGTTCATTTGTAACAAAAAACCCAACTCCCCCAGATTTATTCTTAAATTTTTTACGATTTTTACCAAAGTAGACATAACCATCTAAACAAGGTTGGTCAAAGTCATCTAATTTGGTTTCAGCAAAATGAAAAACATCAAATGTTTTTACAAAGTCTACAAAATCTGGGTTATTTAATTTTGAAACAAGACCACAGACATTGACAAAAGAAATATTAAGATATGTATCATTATCAACAGTACAAATTCTTTCTTCAACACAATAATTATGATCAGAAACAAAAGTTTGGATATTTTCCACAACATCACTACTATGCAAAGTCTCTTCATCATCCTCCTGCACATCCTATAGGAAATTCTGTAACCCTAACTCCTTCATCATTTCCTCACTCTGGTCAACCTTCAGTACGTCAAAAATATCATCTGGGGAAGTCAGTTTAAAGTTCTTTCCTTTAAATTTACAGTGAACGTTCCCATCTCTAAAGTATGTTGCCTCCACACCAGGAATCTTAGACACCACTGCCTTCAACCTCAAACGTAATGGAGTAACATCATCCATGATGTAAACAGATTTGTATATATCCTTAGGAGAGGATTTCAGATACTTCTTGTATTTGTAGACCATCTTCACAGACTGTCGTGAAACAAACCTTACAATAACTTGTTTCTTCTTGCCATTCCTAGGTCTTGTAAAATGACAATCACTGATGTCTGCCCTCGAGAAAGATGTAGACTGTTGTTGACTATTTGCTCTACTGTTATTGCCATCAATGCTACTAAATAGAGATTGTGATTCACTATCTTCTGTTGTTTCATTACCAATTCTTACAATATGATTTAACATATCAATTACAGCATCAATCAGGTCACCAGATGGCTCAAAGTTCCCTATCCTGATGTTTTCTCTTCGAGAATACTGCTCAGCACTGTCCAACTTGTAATGATTTACAAGAACATTAGTCTTCATCTTCGTAAAATCAGCCTGACTAACACAGTCTTTAATCATATCCTCGAGCTTATCAAAACGAGGCTCTAAAAGGGAAACAGTTAGTTGTGCCATTTGTTCGTACTCATCTTTTTTGTTACTTTGCTTAGCTGGCATGATGGAAAAATAGATGAAAATTCAATGTCGCAGCAGAATTATTACTGTGAGAACCACCGGCTTTGATAATTAACAGAAAAATGCACAGTTTAATGTTAAAAACATAGCAGAGACCTATTTTTATGCATATCAACCATTCCGCGAAAACCAATGTCACTATCTTTCTTCCCGGCACATACGTAAATAACACCTAGTACAGATTGTCCGCCCTCGATTCTTCTCCGTTTACACGCTTATTCTTCTTCAAAAACGTCAAAAGTTCAGTACCTATGTAAACCTTTATCTATTCTTTAGCTGTTAGACAAGTATGAAGATCTTTTACAATACGATTCCGTGTAATTTTAGATAAGTTTCGTTATGAACAGTGTTGAAAGTTTGACAGTGTTTGACTTAGCGTTTGTCGTTAAGTTAACTGCTGAATGGACTGTTCAAAATTCATAGCTACATACATACCAAAAACTCAATACAGTAAGGGTCTACTTAGCAATCAATAACATTCCCTGACAAACACAACGTACGTGGTGACAAAAAAATAACCTTGATCAGCAAGCACACTGCCTGGTTATAAATGGCGACAATTATAAAAAGGGAAGTAACTCGTTTAAATTCCAGATATCTATCCGAGCGATCGTGAGAGCATTTTTTCAAGCAATTAAAGGGAAGGCATGTGGTTTTTCTTTTATTACAGTATATAAAATTATAGTTAACGATTACACTGAATCTATAGTATACTAGTAACAAAAAGCTGGGACAGTAAATTAAATATGAACCAGGCCAGATACCACACTTGTGATACTAGCAGTCGTCCAGAGCATTTATACTGTGTCTTTGTAGTAATGTTTCCAACCTTCATAAACACATGTAGAGGAGTCTCGTAAGTAGAGGATCAGGTAGCCAGCCCGCATAGCTCAATCGGTTAAGAGCAAAAGACTTGTAATCTCAACAATGTGGGTTTGATTCCCGGGACTGGCCAACAAAAATTACTAATCAGTCTTTCAGATGGGACTTTAAATCGAGGTTCCTTGTATGAGTGCTTAAACATTTGGCATGTACCAGCAGAATCTTCTGGAATTGGGGCATCTTTCTGTATCTTGCATATGGTGGCGAGTATAAACAAACTCGAGAATCAGAACTGTATCTGGTATGATATTATTGCTTTATGTTCCATATCATGCAGACCTGGGCTAATCTTTTTAAGGGTACCTATTATATTGTTGCTAAAGTTATCAACCATAATTATGTTTTATAATGTGTCTGATGATAATTAACATATATTTAAAGTCCAAAGTAAATACCCAAAGAAATAAAGAATTAGATCTAATTGAATAAAAATGGATGCAGACATTGACACCAGGTGAGTACAGCAGCACTCTAATGTGTTCAATGATTTTTCTTCCAATGTGTTCAATGATTTTCCTTGAACACAAGGAAAGGTTCAATGATTTTTCTTCCAATGTGTTCAAGGAAGGGTTCAATGATTTTCCTTCCAATGTGTTCAAGGAAAGATCCAATGATTTTCCTTCCAATGTGTTCAAGGAAAAGTTCAATGATTTTCCTTCCAATGTGTTCAAGGAAAGGTTTAACGATTTTTCTTCAAATATGATCAATGAAAGGTTCAATGATTTTCCTTCCAATGTGTTCAAGAAAAGGTTCAATGAATTTTCTTCTAATGTGTTCAATGAAAAAATCAATGATTTTCCTTCCAATGTGTTCAATGAAAGGTTCAATGATTTTCATTCCAATGTGTTCAAGGAAAGGTTCAATGATTTTCCTTCCAATGTGTTCAAGGAAAGGTTCAATGATTTTTCTTCCAATGTGTTCAAGAAAAGATTCAATGATTATCCTTCCAATGTGTTTAAGGAAAGCTTCAATGATTTTCCTTCCAATGTGTTCAAGGAATGGTCAATGATTTTCCTTCCAATGTGTTCAAGGAAAGGTCCAATGATTTTCCTTCCAATGTGTTCAAGGAAAAGTTCAATGATTTTCCTTCCAATGTGTTCAAGGAAAGGTTCAATGATTTTTCTTCCAATGTGTTCAAGGAAGGGTCCAATGATTTTCCTTCCAATGTGTTTAAGGAAAGCTTCAATGATTATCCTTCCAATGTGTTCGAAGAAAGGTTCAATGATTTTTTCTTCAAATGTGTTCAAGGAAGGGTCCAATGATTTTCCTTCCAATGTGTTTAAGGAAAGCTTCAATGATTTTCCTTCCAATGTGTTCAAGGAAAGGTCTAATGATTTTCCTTCCAATGTGTTCAAGGAAAGGTCCAATGATTTTCCTTCCAATGTGTTCAAGGAAAAGTTCAATGATTTTCATTCCAATGTGTTCAAGGAAAGGTTCAATGATTTTTCTTCCAATGTGTTCAAGGAAGGGTCCAATGATTTTCCTTCCAATGTGTTTAAGGAAAGGTCCAATGATTTTCCTTCCAATGTGTTTAAGGAAAGGTCCAATGATTTTCCTTCCAATGTGTTTAAGGAAAGCTTCAATGATTATCCTTCCAATGTGTTCAAGGAAGGGTCCAATGATTTTCCTTCAAATGTGTTCAAGGAAAGGTCCAATGATTTTCCTTCCAATGTGTTCAAGGAAAAGTTCAATGATTTTCCTTTCAATGTGTTCAAGGAAAAGTTCAATGATTTTCCTTTCAATGTGTTCAAGGAAAGGTCCAATGATTTTTCTTCCAATGTGTTCAATGAAAGGTTCAATGATTATCCTTCCAATGTGTTCAAGGAAAGGTCCAATGATTTTCCTTCCAATGTGTTCAAGGAAAGGTTCAATGATTTTTCTTCCAATGTGTTCAAGGAAAGGTTCAATGATTTTCCTTCCAATGTGTTCAAGGAAAGCTTCAATGATTTTCTTTCCAATGTGTTTAAGGAAAGCTTCAATGATTTTCCTTCCAATGTGTTCAAGGAAAGATCCAATGATTTTCCTTCCATTGTGTTCAAGGAAAGGTTCAACGATTTTCCTACCAATGTGTTCAAGGAAGGGTTCAATGATTTTCTTTCCAATGTATTCAAGAAAAGGTTCAATGATTTTTCTTCCGTTGTGTTATCTAATAAATTTACATGAATATGATATGCTATTTATCACATATCAAATAAACAACTGTTTATGCTAAAGCTAAATATGAACCACTTTTTCATTGATGCGCTTATAATATTTGGCTAACATTTAGCGCGTCTTTACATATAACACAAATGACGTCACATCAAAATATATGCATGGCTGAGCAATACCATTTTTACTGAGTCAAAAAAGTGGCACAGGTATGTAATAAACCAAGTTTTTGTGTTTGATGGTTTTTCAACACATTTGATTCATGTTATCAACACATTTTGTTTGTTTGTTTGTTTGTTTGGGTTTTATGTCAGTCCGACACAGTATAGGTCATTTGGCGAAGTTCCAGTTTTACAGGTGGTGGAAGACCTCAGTTGCCCTTCCGTGCATTATTTCAGGCACGAACGGGCACCTGAGTAGAACCACCAACATTCCGTAAGCTAGCTGGATAGCTTCATCACATGTAAGAATCCAAAGTTCCTGTCGGGATTCAAACCCACAGCGGCAAGTGGTTTGAAGTCAACGACCTTAACCATTCAGTCACAGTCACCCCATCAACACATTTGATTTATGTAATCTACACATTTGATTGATGTCATCAACACATTTGTTTTTTGTAATCAACACATTGGATTTATGTAATCAACACATTTGATTTATGTAATCAACACATTTGATTCATGTTATCAACACTTTTGGTTTTTGTAATCAACACATTGGATTTATGTAATCAACACGTTGGATTTATGTAATCAACACATTGGATTAATGTAAAGCCTTCCAATGTGTTCAAGGAAAGGTCCAATGATTTTCCTTCCAATGTGTTCAAGGAAAAGTTCAATGATTTTCCTTCCAATGTGTTCAAGGAAAGGTTCAATGATTTTTCTTCCAATGTGTTCAAGGAAGGGTCCAATGATTTTCCTTCCAATGTGTTTAAGGAAAGCTTCAATGATTATCCTTCCAATGTGTTCGAAGAAAGGTTCAATGATTTTTCTTCAAATGTGTTCAAGGAAGGGTCCAATGATTTTCCTTCCAATGTGTTTAAGGAAAGCTTCAATGATTTTCCTTCCAATGTGTTCAAGGAAAGGTCTAATGATTTTCCTTCCAATGTGTTCAAGGAAAGGTCCAATGATTTTCCTTCCAATGTGTTCAAGGAAAAGTTCAATGATTTTCATTCCAATGTGTTCAAGGAAAGGTTCAATGATTTTTCTTCCAATGTGTTCAAGGAAGGGTCCAATGATTTTCCTTCCAATGTGTTTAAGGAAAGGTCCAATGATTTTCCTTCCAATGTGTTTAAGGAAAGGTCCAATGATTTTCCTTCCAATGTGTTTAAGGAAAGCTTCAATGATTATCCTTCCAATGTGTTCAAGGAAGGGTCCAATGATTTTCCTTCCAATGTGTTCAAGAAAATATTCAATGATTTTTCTTCCAATGTGTTCAAAGAAAAATTCAATGATTTTTCTTTCATTGTGTTCAAGGAAAGGTTCAAAGGTTTTCCTTCCAATGTGTTCAAGGAAAGGTTCAATGATTTTTCTTCCAATGTGTTCAAGGAAAGATTCAATGATTTTCCTTCCAATGTGTTCAATGAAAGGTTCAATGATTTTCCTTCCAATGTGTTCAAGGAAAGGTTCAATGATTTTCCTTCCAATGTGTTCAAGGAAAGGTTCAATGATTTTCCTTCCAATGTGTTCAAGGAAGGGTCCAATGATTTTCCTTCCAATGTATTCAAGGAAAGATTCAATGATTTTCCTTCCAATGTGTTCAAGGAAAGATTCAATGATTTTCCTTCCAATGTGTTCAAGGAAAGGTTCAATGATTTTCCTTCCAATGTGTTCAAGGAAAGGTCCAATGATTTTTCTTCCAATGTATTCAAGAAAAGGTTCAATGATTTTTCTTCCGTTGTGTTATCTAATAAATCTACATGAATATGATATTCTATTTATCACATATCAAATAAAGAACTGTTTATGCTAAATATGAACCACTTTTTCATTGATGCGCTTATAATGTTTTGCTAACATTAAGCGCGTCTTTACATATAACACAAATGACGTCACATCAAAATATATGCATGGCTGAGCAATACCACTTTTACTGAGTTTCAAAAGTGGCACAGGTATGTAATAAACCAAGTTTTTGTGTTTGATGGTTTTTCAACACATTTGATTCATGTAATCAACACATTTTGTTTGTTTGGGTTTTACGTCAGACCGACACAGTATAGGTCATTTGGCAACGTTCCAGCTTTACAGGTGGAGGAAGACCTCAGGTGCCCTTCCGTGCATTATTTCAGGCACGCATGGGCACCTGAGTAGAACCACCAACATTCCGTAAGCTAGCTGGATAGCTTCATCACATGAAAGTTCCTGATTCAAACCCACAGCGGTAAGCGGCAAGTGGTTTGAAGTCAACAACCTTAACCACTC